AGAGAAGACCTACTGTAAACCTGTTATCGTCATTATTGATAGTGGAAGTTTGAGGTGGACTACGGTCCCGTGGTTTTTCCCACATTGAGTTTTTCACGTTAAAAAGATTTGGTCTCACTGTGTGATTGATTTATTGCTCTATTGTTTATGCTGTGCTGATTGATATTTTCGTTTGGATATCAAGTTGGTATTTTGATGAGGAACCTATTTTGATACACAAAGAGGGAAAGAATTATTCCGCATTAACAGGTTTCTTCCCAACACTACCTTCATCAAATGATCATAGATTTGAAGACAATCTAAAAATTATATTGTTAAGGTATCTTTATGAAATGTTTATAATATTTTCATTCGAATTTCCAAAACGCTATAAAGAGAACATCAAAACATTGTATATGCAATATTTTAGTAATTCTTATATTTATGACACTACGAGCAACAATGTGAAAAGTTGAATGATTATCAAAATATTTGTTCCTATTTTCACTAAGTTTTTTGAAACTTTAACCAAATTTGAATCACTAAAAAAGTTTAAAGATGAAACAGTGACATTACATCATAAATCACCTCAGACTTATTAATTATATTTGCTAAATGATCATGGATTCAAAAAATAATCTAAAAATATTTTGTTAAGATATTTTTATGAAATATTTACAATGTTTTGACTCATATTTCTAAAACACTATGAAAAGAACATAAAAACACTATATATGTAACATTTCAATATTTTTTATATTTATTACTTTACATTTCATATACATAATTGTGCTATGAAATCATTTGCATTATGAATTCGGAAACACAGATAAAAATATTTCGTTATAATATTTTTATAAAGTATTTTCCCGAGGGGTGACTAATTGGGAGAAACCCACAAAGAGAGATGATAATAATGTAAAAAGTTGAAGGATTCTAAAAATATTCATTCCTATATTCACTAATTTTTTTAAAGCTTTGACCTATTATGAATTGCTAAACAAGTTTAAAGATGAAACAATAATATCAAATCATAAACCATCTTAGATTTATTAACTCCTTTCACCATCATGGATTCGAAAAACAATCTAAAAATATTTTATTAAGGTGTTTTTATAAAGTGTTTTCATTTGCATCCGTAAAACACTATAAAACGGTCATAAAAACACTATATATATATATATATATATATATATATATATATATATATAATATTTTAATATTTCTTACATTCATCGTATTACATTCCATATATACAATTGTATTACAAAATCATAAAGGATATTTTGTTAGAGAGAAAATTTATGGTATTTTCATTCTTATTTAGAAAATACTATAAAGATAACATAAAAATACTGTATAGACAACCTTTTCATAATAAGTTGAGCATTTATATTACCTAGCATATAGCACTAGCACATAATTTGCATCTTGGATTTGTTAACTCTTGTGATTCAACTATGTCATTATAGTATTTTTATAAAGTGCCTATAGTGTTTTGATTCATTTTTATAAAGCACTATAACATAAATATAAAAACACAACATACTAAGCACAAAAAACATAGTAAAAGCTGATATACACGTCTTCTTAATAATATTTAAATCATGATTTTGAATATCAATTTGTATTGATGTATCGAGCTTTATTCGATACGGTACGTATCAGTATATACCGTCGGTACGTTATGGTGAACTAATGATATACTCTAAAACCTTAAAAATATATTCGCTCACCACAGGTCATACCGATCGGTATACATTGATAACGATCAAAATTAGAATGATAACGATCGATATGTATTGATACCGATCAAAAAATTAATATTACCCGATAGAGGATGGTCCGTGTATCGATATCCTCTTAGATCGATACATACCGTTTGGTACACATCAAAATTAAAAATTTTATTTTAATCAAATATAACTTTATGAAAAAACTAAATTTCGTTGAATATATTAACGTCCAAGATTATTTTGATTAACAGGGATAAAACCCCACAACATTATAAACAAAGATAAAAAATACACCTTTCAAAAGTAAAAAAGAGAAAAAAAGAAAAAGAAAAAGGAGAAACCACAATGTACGGAAGACCACGTTCCTCAAATACTATTATCCTAGCTGACTCTTGCAAAATTTCTTTGAGGAAACATACCATTACATAGCTCCAAACCGGAGAGGAGAGGGGAGAAGAGATGAGAGCAAAAGCGATAGAAGATTGATCTTTTTTAGAGGCAAAATATGGTAAAGAAATGAGTTGAACCTTGAATAATGGTTTTCACTAAACCACTAGCATTGCACCAAATCGATCGGTCCAGCCTATGGACGGCTCCTTAGGCTACCTTCTTAAAATCGATAAGAAACACTTATTCCAGCTTTTGAAGGGTTTTTGTTTTTTTCCGAAAAGAGAGGCCATGAATCGAAAATAACCACAAGGGAGTTGATTGATCCAAAAAAAAAATTAAAAAAGTGAATAATTTTTCAAGCAATCATATGTGTGTTTGTGTATGTGTATATAAATAAATATATATATGTATATATATATATATATATATATATATATATATATATATACATTTTTAATATTCGGGTAAGGCCACAAAGGAGAACTTTATACGTCAAGTTCATCTTCCAGGTTTGTTTCACTATCATTGTCTTCCTTGCAAACATTTGTTAGTACAATCTATTTTTTAATATTGGATAAAATGAATTACTTTAGGTAATTGATAGACAAAATCATTCAATATTGATTGTGAATTATTGTTGATTCCAAAGCAAACCTAATTGGTAGAAAAAAAAATATTTCTCTTTGGTTGATCCCTCTGGGATTGACATGTATTCTTAAAAATAACAATTTTACTTGTGGGAAAAAAAATTGGTCTGAAGATATCGTATTTTTGAGAAATTTAGATAAAATTTAAATGCTTATGAGAGAAGGTATAGAAGGGATTTGAGCTGAGATTTGATTAACACAAGAGAGGATATACGTACCTTTCTTGTATTGCAGTGACTAGTTCTTCATGGACCTAATGTTTGGCTTGTGGTATCAATCATGAAATTAATTCTATATTCACACATCGCAATCAGGAGTACATCAATCATCCTTCAGAATCCGTAGACAACTTTGCCAATTACTTATATAGTACGCGGCTACATCCGTATCCACATGGGAAAACATTGTCTTCTACGAATTGCTATGCATGCCAACGCCATTCAGCTGCAGAAACACCTCCTCGCCAAACTAATAAATAGCAAACGGGCAGATCAAGTCAAACAAGCAAGCAACCAAGATATTCTGCAAGAGGAAGAAAAAGAGAGAGAGAAGGAAGGGTTGAAGTCAACAATCTCAATCTTTCCATGTTATAAAATGCTACTACTGAACGTGGAGGATAATTGACATGAGAAACAGGCAAGCAAGTTAGAGATAGATTTAGAAACAGGGTGGAGGAAGTCTGAAGCTAGAAGAATAAGGAGAAGAACCACATTTTTCTCCTGCAGAAGAGAGAGAGAGAGAGACAGAGAGATGACATGAGAAGCAAGAGGATGGAGTGCTTCTTTCTTCTTCAGCGTGCCGTCTCAGTTGCTAGCTATGTTTTCCCAACAAGCTACGTGTAAGACATCGATTAACCACACGGGAAACTCCGTTACGGCCTAATCCTTACTCGATTTGTTCTTCGTTCATGCAGGTTTCATTGCTTTAGCTGTCACCCTATTTGCCTCTATTTTCCATGTTGTTGCTGCAGCAGTTAGAAGCAGTCAGAGAGCGAAGACAGCCATATATATCCGCCACAAGCGATTAAAGTTGAAGTCACTAACTAAGAATGACAAAACCATAGCATATGGAAGTGCATAACTCACAAGATTTCTAACCAATTTTCGCTCTATTAATCCTTTAATTAAGGCAGGCTATTTGGTACTGTATCGCAAACGGTAATATCGAGTTGTTCTCGTGGCATTTAGGGTAGAGGAGCCACGGTGGACGCAGACAATCTAGGAGTTGGAAGGTCTGCGAGCGTTTTCCATTCCAGGAATCAATTTACTAGACTTGCTGTCCCACGTTACCCTCACACGAGCAACACAGACGACCGTGCAAACAAATTCAAACAACATGGCAAAGACAGAGACAACGCACAGATCGAGGACGAACGAAGAAGAAGACACGAGTGAGCCATACGCATCGACTCCCCCATCATCGTCTATATATACCTCGATGCCTTCGTGGTGTTGCAGCATATTCCCCTTCCCTTGATCATTATTAGTGGCCTTCCATAAACCAAAGTGAGGGAAGGAGAGAGAGAGAGAGAGAGAGAGAGAGTTCCGTACGTCGTCTTCAATAGCCTGCCATGGCGTTGTGTCGCCTTCTTCCTACTCTGCTCGCCCTCACCGTCGCCTGCGTTGTCGCCTATGACCGTCCGCCGCCCCGGGAGACACTCACCATCCCTTTCGCCGACGATGCCGACGGCCTCACTCCCCAGCAGGTACGGCGCTTGCCCTCCGATCTCATCTCTCACCTCTCACTCCTGTGATGAGTCGTTCATGGCGATCTCAATTCTGTCTCATCCTATGATCGTCGTCAATCGAGTAAAACTTTAGGATCAAACCGAGTCGCTGAAGTGATAGAATTGAACCTATTTTAAGCTGTGATTTCCTAATTCTTTTTGGTGAATTCAAGTAATGTGGGAACATGCTACATGTCATTAACGAACGATTTGTCGGCAGCTCCAACAAGGTATGAGCTAAGCGTAATTAAGGTGGTTGACTTTGCCGTGCATGATGGTGGAAGATGATCGATGGCATTACCTAGTTGTTTATTTGCTGTTTTCACTTGGTTTGAGCCAAACTTAGTTGAGGATCCTTCACACGATCCAGTCATTTCACACCCATTACTCTCAACACATACTACACTGCTTCAGAAACTCAACACATGAAGATTCATCGACATCCTTTTTTTGTTGCATGATCAATAAATGCATTCGTACTGTTTGTGCCTTAAATTGCGTGCCAACTTTAATGGCCGTGCAATTAATCTCTATCGCATGCAGCTTTCATTTATTAGATGGCCAAGTTTTAGAATCTCACTGGTGCCTTCAATTTCTTATCATTTTCTTTCCATCAGAAACCTTACGCCACCAGTTAATGAAATTTAGGTCGCAAGATAAGATCCGTTCTGACTTGTGATATCATCTTAAATAGTGATCATTGTCGCTCCATCTTCTAAGAGTTTTTGAGGTTGTAGCTGAAACATGATCTATCGATTTATATTTCGTAGGTGCATATATCTCTTGTGGGATCCAATAAAATGAGGGTGACATGGATCACCAAAAATGACGGTGAGTCCGTCGTCAACTACGGCACGATCGCTGGCAAGTACACCGACTCCTCCGTCGGCTCCGCCTCCTCTTATACGTATTTCTTATACCGCTCCGGCCACATCCACGACGTCGTCATCGGCCCTCTGAAACCCGACACCGTTTATTACTATCGTTGCGGCTCGAATTCGACCCGCGAGTTCTCCTTCAAGACTCCGCCTTCCTCTTTGCCCATCAAATTCGCCATCGTCGGTACGTATTCTCCAATAAAACTGATCTCATCTCGGTTTCTTGTCAATCAGTCTTCTTAGTGTTCATCGGTATATCATTGTTTCTGCGATAATGAATCGAGTTCATGATTATTATTTTCGAGGATTAAATACATACAAATATTATATCACAGCCGAAGGTATATAATACAATATTCACTTAAATTTTACTTGAAACATTGGTCTTTACGTAAGGTAAAAAAAATCATTGGAAGATAGCTTAGAATGTTAAGGGTCCGAATTTAAATATAGCATATAGATAACTGCAAATACTAACATCCTCCACGTGCAAATATTAACATCCTCCACATGTGTTACTATCATAAATATAAAAATCATTTACTTAAGTTTTTAAGTCTTAAAAGAATATATATATATATATATATATATGTGCTAAACTTAAATTTAGAGAGAAATATAAAAATCAGTAATTGGAATGATGTATATAAATATAAATATACTGCTACATCTCCTTTTAATTTGAGTAGTGAGCGTGCGGTTTTAGAGCTGTTCAAGACGAGCAGTTGCGTAAATGTTCCTGCACGTGGTACAGGTGACTTGGGTCAGACCGGGTGGACCAAATCGACGCTGCAACACCTGGCAGCGACGGACTACGACGTGCTGCTGCTCCCCGGCGACCTCTCCTACGCCGACTACCTCCAACCGCTGTGGGACTCCTTCGGCCGCCTGGTGGAGCCTCTGGCCAGCGCCCGCCCCTGGATGGTCATCCATGGCAACCACGAGATCGAGAAGATCCCCCTCCTCCACCCCCAACCCTTCGTCGCCTACAACGCCCGGTGGCCCATGCCCTACGACGCCGACCCCGTCACCGCCTCCGGATCCAACCTCTACTACTCCTTCGACGTCGCCGGTGGCGCCGTCCACGTCCTCATGCTCGGGTCGTACACCGACTTCGGCCCCGATTCCGCCCAGTACAAGTGGCTGGCCGCCGACCTCGCCCGGGTCGACCGTGCGAGGACGCCGTGGTTGGTGGCGCTGATCCACGCCCCGTGGTACAACTCCAACGAGGCGCACCAGGGAGAGGGGGAGGAGATGCGGAAGGCCATGGAGGCGCTGCTGTACGGCGCCCGCGTCGACGCGGTGTTCGCGGGGCACGTGCACGCGTACGAGCGGTTCACGCGCGTGCACGACGGCAAGGCGGATGCCTGCGGGCCGGTGCACATCACCATAGGCGACGGTGGCAACAGGGAAGGGCTGGCGAAGAGGTTTCAGAAGCCGCAGCCGGCGTTCTCGGAGTTCAGGGAGGCCAGCTTCGGGCACGGGCGGCTGGAGGTGGCGAACGGGATGCATGCGCTGTGGTCGTGGCACCGGAACGACGACGACGAGGCGGTGGTGGCGGACCAGGTGTGGCTCACCAGCCTCGCCTCCAACCCGGCGTGCAGTCCCAAGCCCAAATAAATATAAATACCCGAAATATTCTTTCATTTTAAAACTGTATGTGTATGTTTCTTTCTTCTTCGTCAACAATTGGAAGTATTGGGTGATTGATTGTTTAATGGAAAATATCAACAAAAATATATACAGTATTAAATATCTGATTCGATCGGACCCCATTACGACCGTGTCGGACTGCACTCGGGTCATGTGTTCTTCACGTCTTCATTACTTCCTTGCCGTAGCGTCGGGGCCACACGCACATTTGATTTCATAGAACCGGTGTGGGCCCACAACGAATTGTCTACTCTTTCTTGAAGTCTCATGCATTCCGAAAAGGCGCATTCGAGGATTGACCTAATACTTATTACCTAAACCTCCTCCTCATCGAAGACGATTGATTCATCTAATAGAAAGTGATTTGAAAGCTCGGTAACCATTATAACGTTCGTAAGCGTAACGGATGCTTAAAACGTTTATGGAATCTACGCGCTCTCACGCCTCCTCGTGATTCGCACGTGCATTTCGCCGCAAGCTGAAGCAAACGAAGGGAGAGAGAGAGCGCGAGACGAACCCAAGCTAAGAATCGCGAACCTTCTGATGCCCGCTCCCCACGAAAAGGACAAAACAAAGGCGTTATTTTATTCACATATATATATATATATCGTACCGTTATAAACCACCATCAAATAACACTTCCATCCGACCGTTCCCCCTCTTCTCTTTTTCCTCTGCTATTTATTGCGCCTCCGTGGGGACGTTAGATTAGATTTCAAACAAACATGAACAAATCCGAACGCGTCGCAATTGATGTCGCTGATGTTACCAAGAAAACCAGTACCATCCTCCTTCTGCGGTGACGGAGATCGGTATCGTCGCTCCGGAGTCGGATCAGCTCAGTGAATCTTGGATCTCGGCACCGGTGAGGGATCCCGACTTTCTGTCTCTTTTGTTTCGCCTGAGATCTCTTTGGATGTGGAGCGGTTTTCGGCCTTCTGATGTTGGATCTTGTACTTCTTTAAAGATCGTTCTTCTTTTTGCGGTCACTGTGCTGCTGCTGCTGCTGCTGTGCGTGGGCCTTTTGCTTGAGGTTTCTTCTTGGCCATTAATAGGCTGGTGGTTTGGCATGTCGCTGCTGCTCAGCAGTTCATCGTGTTTGTTGCTGTCTGGGTTTTGGATTTTGTTCGTGATCTCGAACCATGGGACTTTTCTCGGCAAAAAAGCTTCCAGGACTTTGGTTTTTCTTTAGGCACTTAATAATAGGCATGAAAGAATGCCGCTTGTGAGGTGGATAGTATCCCTCTTTGTTGGAACATGTGTGGATTATTTTGGTTGTCACATGTGTAATTATGAGTATGGGACGTGTTGGCATTGTTCTTAACATTTTTCCCTCGGTTTATACTTCAAACTTGTTATGTTCAGAGTAGCTTCTTGTCGGAGGCCACGGTGCTTTTTTGATCTGGAAAACAGAGAAGTGCCGCCAATCCATCTGTTTTCGCTCCAATTAGACCTACTTTCTTTTTTGCTTTCAGCTACGGTTTAATTGAGAGTTGTAACTCATAATTCTCATTCGTTTCATGTGTTTATTGCATATAGTTGTCATAATTACTTTCTCAAAGCTACCAGTGTAGGGAAATTAACACTATAGCCATTGAGTAAACTGATTTTCTATTCGTAAACATCTTCGAAAGTTCCACATAACAAGAAAAGCGTCCAGATTACCTATCATCATTGTTTCTGTGAACTAATCTGATACCAGGTATTATTGCAGTGGAGAATACAAGGTCACCTTGATCTTCTGATGACTTGGAACTCATAAGGCCAGATAATGCTTAAAACTAGGTGATAAGTAATGGCAACAGAAGTTGACCAAGCTTGTTATGGTTGGTCACATCAAGAATTGTCTGATCATGATGCATATCAGGTATTTCATCATTCAATTGAGTAGCACTTTTAAATATTATATCCATTAACTCTTGTCAGTATGTGTTTCGGTCATTTTTGGTTGCATCCAAGTTATATCTTCTATGAATTTCATTCTCTTTCTTCGTAAATAATTCTTTAAGCTTGCCCTATCAATGAGAATTTTTTTCTATTCTGTCATCTTCTTGATTATGAAGGAACCCAGCTTCTTAATCATGTAATTTTTGATGCACACAAAAGTTCCTGTCTGCAATTTTCCAAACGGTTCAGCAAGGATGTCATCCTAAACAACTACATTGACTGACTTCATGGTATCCTCGTTCATCAAGACTTTGAGACTTAAATTAAGTCAACACCAAAATTTCTAGGAAAAAGATCCACTATTCTCTGGTGTTTGAAACTCTATATCTGTTTGTGTCTTACAGTGACTTACTTCTTGGTATCCTCTTTCATCATTCAAAACTTTGAGACTTAAATTAAGTCAACATCAAAATTTCTAGGAAAAAGATCCACTATTCTCTGGTGTTTAAAACTCCATATATTTTTGTGTCTTGAAAATATGACCCCAGTTACCCTCATATCGTGTCACAACACCATGGCAAGCCGAAGCCTGGAAGATAAAGTTAATTTTCAGGTCCAAGATTAACTCAGTTGGACTGTTTTTCGACTTATAACTTGATTAGTAATCACACATGTTAGGCAAATTACATCAAAGAACAAGTATGTTGTCTATCCTATTTAAGATTTGTCTATAGATGACAGCCTTGTACTTTTCAGTTGAAGAAACTTTCAATCTGCACCTTCACTCACGGTGCCATGTCATTTGTAAATAATTGTACCGATGTACTTCGAACCACTTGTATTTATAGAAGTTGTCCATCCATTTAACAATCTTTCATGATTCTCCAAAAGGGACTATTGTAGTAAAGCTCTGTGGAATGCCTGAGCAGAGAGCAAATTCATCAAGAAATCTAAGAACACAGAAAAGAAGAGTTCAAATCTGTATAAAGCTGAACTTATTCAATATGGTTGTGTAAGTGTGCAACAGTAGCGCAACTAGAGTTAATAAACCTTGCAGCTGCACGTTGAGCAAATAGGTCAGGTAGGCTGAGGACATAATGAACACTTGTCAAACAAGTGATGCATGGATATATTGGTGACACTTAATTTGGTCATTGCCTTAACCAACAAAAGATTAGCAGAAAAGACACCCTACTCGTGGCTTATTGGAATCACCGCAGCTATCATCTTCACATTTTAGGGTTGTGCACTTTTCACAATGACAGTTCTTTCCCTAAAACTCTTCCTCATCCTAGTTTCCGCTTTTTTTTTATATTAATATAATTTACTATGCCTAATTTGATGTCTAAATATCTTCTCCATGATATTTTAATGTAACCCTGTTGCTTAGGCTATAATGCCTGGTGTCATGTTTTTCAGTCAAATTCTTTTACTTTCATTCAGTGCATTTTTCTTTACATATAAGCTGACTAATGAATGAAGCAACAGTTGTTAAGGTCCGCACCAGATAATTATGCATTCTACAACTTGGTATATCCCTTGGAAAGTTGCAGTCATTAAAAACCATTCAGGGTCATCTTGATCTTTATTTTTTGTTTTTTCAGGATGTATTTTTTGATGCGTTATTAATTCTACAAGCACTAAAGTAACCATATATTTGATTTTTTTTATAATTTTCTGGGTATCTGTTTCACTTTTTTCATGTTTACTGTGCCAGTCTGCTGACAATTCTACTAAATGAATTTGTAGCACATTGTCATCTTCACCCTTCTCAAACATCTTGCTGTTTACTTTTTCTTTTATCTTTAGGATTCATTTTCATCAGCACTTTTACTACAATCTGATTTTGCAGGAAGTACCTGTTTCTCAAGTGCTAGACCATGGCTCAGTATCATTTGGAAGATTTGCAGTTGAGACCCTTTCATGGGAGAAAAAGTCTATTTTTACTCGCAATAGACGTCAAGAAGAGCTGGAGAAGTACCGTACACATGGTTTAGTTGCTCAAAAAAAGGCCTACTTCGAAGAGTATTTCAAAAGAATTCGAGCTGTAAAGTCTATGCAAGAGAACCAGCAATCTGAGATTACAGAGGATTATGGAGATGATGCCAGTATTTCTAGCCAATCTGGTGAAGAAAACAAAACAACTGCAGAGCTCAAATATCATGGAGATCAAGCAGCGAATGTTGGCAATGATCAGCCAGAAGACGGTCCAATTGGAGTTGGTATTCTCCATGGTGACCTAGAAAAACTTTCAAATGGAGTTGCCATGGAGCAGACTACACATCCAATTGAAGCACTTCAGACCTCACCTCTGTCATCGTCAACAAGAAGTTTCAAAGATAATCAGGAGGAGAATCATTATGATTATGGTGACCCAGAAAAACTTTCAAATGGAGTTGCCATGGAGCAGACTACACATCCAATTGAAGCACTTCAGACCTCACCTCTGTCATCGTCAACAAGAAGTTTCAAAGATAATCAGGAGGAGAATCATTATGATTATGCTCTTCAAATGCAACACCTCAATCAAAAACTTCTGAAGGATGAAGCTTGTATAGGATCTCAACAAAATATTGATCAGCATGACATAAGTTGCCTTGATGAAAAATGGGTTTCAGATGGAAATGTCAATTTGTCCTACAATCATAAGACTCAAATTGCTGCTAGTGGTATCGCAGCCTTCGCTAGAAGAAATCCTAAACCAGAAAGATCCATGCTTAAGCAAGTTGAAAATTCCACAAGGGACAAAAACTTGCAAAACAAAAACACATATAAGAAGGAAAGCATGCCAACTTCAAAATTGAAGGTATGCCAGTTGAGAAATTTATTTACCATGTTGTTTTCTGTTAGTTGTTTGATCTGCAAACTTTCACATTTCTGTTCAAGAAGAACAAAATAATTAAGCAACCAGAAAACGATAATCTGCACTAGCCATAGATTCCAAAACTTGAATGTGCCAACGATGGAGTTTGAGCAAAATTGGTTGATTTTTTGTATATGGGAAATTTAGTTTATCACTGTGGTTTCCTAAATTACTGTTGATAGGTGTGTCACAGTGTGAAATATTTGGAGTTGTCTGAACTTCTAATCCAACATCTGACTGGTATAGGACCAGTATAGTTATTCTTACCAGCTTGAGTATCTCTGGAATACTTGTTTGATCTATATTCTTCTGTGTCAGGAGCTTTCTACTGACCCAATTTAAATCCTTGTCATAAAGAAACTTCATTAACATGTTTGCTTAAGATACCTCTTAATTGTTCCACTACATAGATTTGGAGTCTGATGCACTTGTATGAATTTTTCATGTACCAAAATTTTTTACTTTTCTTCAGATACTGATTTTTAGCTAATGGTCTTGATAATGTCTATGATTAAAACATTCTAGTAAGATGGCAGCGGAAATTAACAAAAAGAAATCATAATTAATTTGAGGAATAGTTGATTGTATCTGATGTAATAACTCTCTTGCAAAAAGATCTCTGGATGGTTAAGAATTTGATGTTTGATTGGATAAGGCATGAATCAAGAACTTAAGCTGCATAATTAGAAAGTTTTGCAGAATATGGTTTGATTTAATGGAGAATGAAGTTGCTGAGAGCATATACAATTTGATGTTATAAATAATCTTATTTGTAAATAGTCCTATGTTTGGATACCTAATTTGTCAAGTTAGGCTAATTTTCTGCAACTACCCGGATGCAAAGTTGATGTTAAATATATATTACACTTGATTATAACATTCAAATATAGCACTCATGCCTTTGCCTCTGCATTCAAAATCTAAATTAACACAATTTTATACATTTAGAAGTATAAAAAAGCAACTTCCTTGGAAGGAACCTTTTATCTGATGTAATGACTATCTTGCAAAAAGATTTGCCCTCTGGATGGTTACGAATTTGATGTTTGATTGGATAAGGTATGAATCAAGAACTTAAGCTGCATAATTAGAAAGTTTTGCAGAATATGGTTTGATTTAATGGAGAATGAAGTTGCAGAGAGCATATACAATTTGATGTTATAAATAATCTTATTTGTAAATAGTCCTATGTTTGGATACCTCATTTGTCAAATTAGGTTAATTTTCTGCAACTACCTGGATACAAAGTTGATGTTAAATATATATTACACTTCATTATAACGTTCAAATATAGCACTCATGCCTTTGCATCTGCATTCAAAATCCAAATTAACACAATTTTATACATTTAGATGCATAAAAAAATTCCTTAAAAGTAAACTTTTTTCAAAACTGTGTTTAGACAACAAATCTGCAGTTGCCTTTTCTATATGAAGCAATAAGCATTTAGTATTTATTCTTTTCATCTGTTGTCAGATTTCTTCTTCGGCTAAAAATAATCTTAATTTGAGCTGCAAGAGAAAGTCGGAGCTGAAGCCATCTAATGGACTAAATCCAGTTCAAGGGAAAATTAGCAAGGCAGAAAACACTGCTCGTTCAAAAAATGCCGCTGCTGATAAACTCTTGAGCAAATATAAGTCTACTTCAGATTCTTCCTGTAAACCTCTTACAGAAGGACGATCCAAGATTACTATTCCTCGCCCCTTTTCATTTGCCACAGAAAAACGAGCTGCAGCATCTTCTAGTCTTAAAGATGACACACCGAGATTGATTTCAAATGCTTCAAATAGAACAGCCCCATCTCTAAGTCATGAAAAGGGCATCACAATTGTCCCGGTAAGTTTTTCATTAATATTATTCACCTTATAATGGAAAGTTATTATATTATTTTAGTGGAAACTTTCAGGTGATTAGCTGAGCTAACAAAAAATTGCATTCCCCTCTTCTTATGGTTCAATAGCATCTTGCTCTTTCTTTTGTCTTTGTTGTCATAATTATTCTGGGAAAGTTGGTCTTCTTTATCCGGAATCTCTTTGTATGATTTGATATTACTTATCTGAGATGTAATGCAATCCCATTTCATTTGTGTTCTGGCTTTGTTCTTGCAGAGTACTACAGGAACAGCTACCATAGATAATGGTGTGAAAGGCAGAGTACTTGAGAACAAAAGGTTCGAATAAATTTGGATATTTTAAGCCTGGTGAATAAGATGAGCAATAAAGATAACATTGTTGATAAGTACATTTTGGAATATTAGGGGCTATGAAAAAAGAATGACTTTGGTGTCAGATAATAGGCATATTGGTCTTAGTAAAAAAAGGTGTCACAATGCTTGGATCCTCGAAAGCAAGGTACTGTACCAGATTCAATTTTCAACTAATGTAATAAGGAGCAACTTCATGCACGGATCATGTGATAATTATTTTAGGTGCAGCATGTGATACAGGGTAACTTAAAAAGATGATTACTAGAACATCTAACTCAGGTGTCTGTTGCAAGATGAAGAAATAATGTTTCTTGTTCACTTTCTCCTTTATTTAGAAACACCATTAGAAGATATGATGTACTGACATTTCATAATGTTTTGTTGGACTTACTAAGAAGCACCCAATTGGGCTGCAAATAAGGCTAGAAACATCACTAGAAGCAGCCAATTGGACTGCAAATAAGGCTAGAAACACCATTAGAAGCAGCCAATTGGGCTGCAAATAAGTTTAGATCAGATAAATCCACCTGACAATGGGTGGATTCTTTCCCTTATGAATTTTTAGCCTTTTTGCATGTTGACCTTGTGAGGTCTTCCCGTAGAACTTTGAAGTCTTAATGGATTTCCTTTTGCCGAAAACAAAAAAAAGGTTTTGTTGGACTTACTAAGATCTAACTCTCTTGCTCAATACTCAGGTCAATTAACCTTCCTCGAGGGAACAAGACTAATCGATGTAGTGAAAGTGAAAATCAATCCTATTGTGTTGCCAGAGGAAATAGGAAAGAGGAGGTACTGTTAATCTTTTCATATTATGCATGTACAGTTTGTATATTATGGTCCATTGACTCCACTGTTTGATCATAACCAGTTTAGTTTATCTCAACTTGTATTATGTTATGAGAGGTGTAAACATGCACTGGCACACCAACCGGATTAGATTTGAAGGAAATTATGATGCATTTATAATGAATGTCTAGGCATTTGTTTGCTTGGTTTCAGTATAACGGTATCACTGCTTCCAGTGATGAATCGGATAGATTTACTCTGCAGGGAAAGGATAGAGCAAATTTGATGTCAAAGATTCACAGGCTTAGTTCAACAAATGCAGACTCTATTTTGATCACAAATCCCAAGGAAGAAAATAGAAAGGTTAATTTTTTTTCCTAGTAATGCTTTATTTTTAAGGAGCTACTTTTGGCATGGCTAGTGAAAGTCTTACTACCAAGGAAGGCTGCCATTTAACCATCTGCATCCGCTGGCTGCTGGACCGGTGCAAATTTTTAATCTTAAAATTTATCAGTTGATATTCTTGTTCGGCTGAGCAACCTATATATCATCTGATATATTGGATCTTCAAGTTCCATCTTTGAGTGAAATTCTTCTCAATTTGATTGATGTTCTGGATCATCTAGGGATTATAGACTCTTCGCATTATAAAATAATTGCTTGAGAAACTGAAGAGTGGCAATAGATGGTTCTCTATTGTCCTTTCCTGGTACGTAAAAGACATTGCATGGATCTAACAGTTCAATCCTGCAGATAATTAAGTCGCAGATCAGTAATCGGTCACTTCATACTAGCAAGTCAAAGAGTAATGATGCATCACTCGATGCAAAGAAGCCAAGGTGTGTTTGAATTCCTTCAACAACTCCAAATGTTCAGTACATGTTATTTACTACAGATTGACTAATTTGTTTGTTATTCAGGCAAGTGATGCCACGCTGGAGATAAATCAAATCTCATATCGAGATTCCTACATGAGAAGCACCGAACGACCACGAAAAGTTTATCCACTACTCATCCACTTGTGCAGAAGCTGCATATGAGCAGCGTCTAAGTGCGATCTCAGTCATTTACGTACACACAAAAAGTATACATAGTTGTTAGCTATATTACAGACAATTACTTTCTTGTTCCATAAAATTGTCATGTATATGCTACGTTTTAGGATACACAGGATGTTGCTTCTCAAGCAGCACCCTTCAAAACTTCAATTTTAGTGGAACTCTCCTGATGTATCTTTCGGAGACCAATAAGATCGGGTTCATAGGTTCTAAAATGTCTTTATTTTATTTCGAGTTGCAGTAATTCCATGGAACATGTTAAGTTTGTGCAGCAATAGCAAGCCATAGTTGTTTAAATTCCCAACTGTCTTGGATTGGCTAGAATATCAAGTTTATCTGAGATTTTCTTGACCCAAGTTTTCTGGTTTGATGTCAACATTTTTGGAAGAACTTTATTCTTGCATCACCATAAACACTGTAAATTTTGCACACAATCTCCATCAGATACAATGAAGTATGTCATTTGGCCATATGAACTATTTAATCTTTTCCAAAAAAAAAGAAGAAATTATTGCAGAACAATTGAACTTGTTGGACCAACAAAATAGGCTAGCTAAATCATTGGGAGCAACATATTGATTCGATACGTGGTGGATAGATAATGTGCTTTAGAATAATATTGCAACATGGTAAATCTCCTACAGGAAAATTCAAACATGCTTGGCTTAACTTGAAACTGCATCTCTTATGTCCTCTTTTGCTTCGCCACTTGATGACAGTAAAAACACAGTTGAATAGTCAAGTTTTGATTGTTCTAATTTTTCATACCTTAACGTATTTTTCATAAGTCTTATAAAATAATGAAAGCACAATATTTATTTTAATGTAAAAAACATAATCGCCGTCTGTGGGAATCGAACCCACGACCACATGGTTAAAAGCCATGCGCTCTACCGGCTGAGCTAAGACGGCTGATCTATTTTACCCAAATAAAATAATATATTATATCTTATTATTAGTGTATTTTAGATAATCAAAATGGCTATCGAGAATCGAGTACCTAAAACTCAATTTTAATATTTAAATAACAATAGTCAAATTATTTTTTTAAAACATTTTAAAATTTAAATGGGTCTACAAACTGAGCTTGGGACATCGAGAGAATAAATAAAAAAATGAGAACATATATTTCTCCCAAAATTAACTAGCCAATTGACTAGTAGATCATTTGATATTCCAGGGATATAAGCAAAATTTGTTACACTAAATCTAAAAAAAATATATATATATATATGTCATTGGGAACCAAGGTCCTTAGAGGGAAGCCTTTGATAAAATGAACAAACCGAATAAAGTTGATTTGGATAAAAATATTGGATAGATTTAATTTTGATATTTTCGAGAGTTCTCTTAACACTGCTTGGACCTTTGACAAAATAGGTGAGGTTGCGAAATAGTAGCAATGGCCAACACTAATGACAAAGAGATCAGATGCACAAAGGATATGATCGTGGAGAAGAGGTGAGATGAATGAGACATTTGTTTCAACAAAAAAGTCTCAACTTCTCTTAGAAGAAGATGCGGCTATCATGTTTCTCTCGAAGCGAAGTAGTTTGAAAAATATCATTAGCAAAGGATATGGTTAGGCGATGACGATGCTTGAATACGACGAAGTTTGTGTCGGGAAAAAACATGTTAAAACAGAATATTTTTTTCCCTCTTTGTATATCAAAATGAGTACTTCATCAAAATATCAACTTGATATCCAAATGAAAATATTAACCAACACAGTATAAATAATAGAGCAAAAAATTAATCACACAGTGAGATCAAATCTTTTAACGTAGAAAACCCAATGTGAGAAAAACCACGGGATCATAGTCCACCTCAAACTTCCACTATCAATAGTAATGATAACATGTTTACAATAGGTCTTCTCTAGAATAATCAGAGGATCACAATAACATCAAGATCATAGACCTTGGCTCAAGAATAGTACATCTTCATCACATAGGGTGGATCACATCGTAAGAGAATTCTAGGTCTCACAACGTGAGTATAGCAGAAAAATACCTTAGAGAGGGTAAACGGTAGATCGACACCGTTAGGATTGTAGAGTTTGCTGCAAAGATTCTCTACATAAAATTTGGACCAAACCTGACAATGTTTGGTCACCGATCGTCAAGCAGAAAACTCAGAAACCTTACTTTCTCTCTATATTTCTCTTTCCTCTTTTCTGTGCACGTCGTGGCACACATTCATCGCGCACCCTCACTGCACGCTGCACTAAACCCTTTCTCTTGTTTGCTGCCCTCAATTAGTGATTTGGGCTCAATAGGTCCAATTGTCCAAGCCCACATATGGGCTAGACCCAACAATTCTCCCCCTCCAGCTCATATGATGGGTTGTACCAAGCCCGCTCTTTGTCTATATACTTCAAGCTTCTCTTTAGGCAAAGACCTTGTCAACATATCTGAACCATTCTCATTGGTATACACTTTTTCCAACTGTAATTCTTTCAACTCAAGCACATCACGAATCCAGTAATATCTCACATCAATATGCTTGGATCTAGAATGGTATGTTGAATTCTTGGAGAGGTGAATGACACTCTGACTATCACAGTAAACAGTATATCCTTCCTATTTCGAGCCCAATTCCTGTAGAAACTTTTTCATCCATAAAGCTTTCTTGCAGGTTTCAGTAATTGCTATGTATTCTGCTTCTATGGTTGATAGAGCAACACAATTCTGTACTTCCTGCTCCTCCTGCAAATGTCATCAAGAATCCCGAAGTGGACTTCCTGGAATCAGTATCACCTGCCATGTCTGCATCTGTCTACCCTTCTAACACAGGTTCATCATTACCAAAATATAAACATAACCTGGAAGTACCTCTTAGATATCTTAATATCCATTTCACTACTGCCCAATGTTCCTTTCCAGGATTTGAGAGAAATCGGCTGACAACTCCAACTGCATGAGCTATATTTGGCCTAGTACAAACCATAGTATACATCAAACTGCCTACTGCTTTGGCTTGACAGTGTTTCGAACTAAGCTTGAAATGACCTACAAGTGGAGAACAAACTGCTTTGGCTTTACTCATGTTGAATCTTTCAAGAACCTTTTCAATATAAGTCTCATGAGATAGCCAAATCTTCTTTTTCTTCCTATCAAGAAGAATCTTTATGCCAAGTATTTGTTTCACCGATCCCAAGTCTTTTATGGCAAAAGACTAACTTAGCTCTTTTTTAAGCTTTCCAATTTTTCTAACATCATGACCAATAATCAACATATCATCAACATATAACAGTAAAATAATAAAATCATCATCTGAAAATTTCTTTATAAACACACAATAATTAGATGTGGTTCTATCATACTCTTGACTCATCATAAAGGAATCAAACTTTTTAAACCACTATCTAGATGCCTATTTGAGTCCATATAAGCTTTTCCTAAGCTTACACATCATATTTTCTTTTTCCTTGACTTTGAAACATTCTGGTTGCTCCATGTAAATTTCTTCTTCTAAGTCACCATGAAGAAATGCAGTTTTCACATCAAGTTGCTCAACTTCTAAATTCAAGCGGGCAGCTAAACCAAGAACAACTCGGATAGAGGACATTTTCACAATTGGAGAAAATATTTCTTCAAAATCAATATCTTTCTTTTGACTGAATCCTTTCACAACTAGTCATGCCTTGTATCTTTGTTATGAGCTATTATTTTCAGTCTTCAATTTGTAAACCCACTTATTCTTGAGAGCTTTATTCTCTTTAGGCAATTTTACTAAGTCATAGGTGTGGTTCTCAAGCAAGGATCTCATCTCTTCTTGCATGACTTTAACCTATTTATTCTTATCCTCATGTAGAATAGCTTCTTGGTAAGTTTCTAGCTCTCCCTCGTCAGTTAGCATAACATACTCATGTGGAGGATATCTAGTAGATGGTTGTCGCTCTTTAGTGGATCTTCTCAATGGAATCTCAATTGGTGGTGGGGGTGTTGGTTCAGTTGGTTCAGCATCATCAACTATAGGTGTATCATCAATGATATTCTCACCATAATCTTCTTGTTCATCTCCCCCATGATCATCATGAACTACAGGTGAAGGAACTAGACCCAAACTCCAAGGAATATAAACAGAGGTTTCTGGCTTCTCAATATTATCACCATCATTAAACAATTGGTCTTCAAGAAACATAACATCTCTGCTTCTAATAATCTTCTTGTTCACTGGATCCCATAATCTGTACCTAAACTCTTCATGATCATATCTCAATAAGATACATGCTTTTGCTTTACTATGAAGCTTGGACCTCTCATCTTTGGGAATATAAACAAATGTTCTACACCCAAAGACTTTTAAGTGATTATAAGATATATCTTTTCCTCTCCATACTCTCTCTGCAACATCACATTTCAGAGGAACTGATGGAGAAAGATTTATCAGATCAATTGTAGTTCTCATAGCCTCCCCCAAAATGACTTTGGTAACTTAGCGTGGGAAAGCATACACCTAATCCTTTCTGCCACACCATTCTGTTGAGGAGTTTTAGGAACTGTTCTCTCAAGCTTGATTCCATGAAACCTGTAATAATTCTCAAAAAAACCCCTATACTCGCCACCATTATCTGATCGAATACACTTTAGTTTTCTGCCAATCTCTCTTTCAACACTGACATGAAACTCCTTGAAAACATCGAGTACCTGGTTTTGCAACTCTAGTAAGAATTGCTTTCTAGCAAGAGTTTGAAGTCCCTTCTCGCTGATATGTCAAAGTCTCTTATGCCAAAGATCTATACTTTCACCTTTTTGAATTGCATTAATCTCTTCTTTGTGTAGCTTAGCTTCCATGACATAAAAAGAGTTAAGTTTCTTTTCTCTTGCCACAATCAGAGAACCTTTAGTGAGTTTCCATTTACTTTCACCAAAATAATGTGCAAAGCCCTCATCATTAAGTTTACCTGTAGATATCAAGTTAAGATGAATATCTGGAACATCCTTACATCTTTGAGTATCAATTTGCTCCCAATACTGGTCTCCAAGCAAATATCTCCAATATCCACAATCTTAGATGTACCACTGTTTCCCATTCTAACATTACCAAAATCACCAACAGTGTAAGATCTAAAGAAATCACCATGAGAAGTAACATGAAATAAAGCACCAGAGTCAATTATCCAATTACTGTCCTGAGCTACAAGACTAACACAACCTTCATCACAAACAATAGTGATATTACCTTCAGTAGCAACTGTATTGGTATCTTTCTCATTTTTCTTCATTTCATTCTATTTTCGCTTCCAAAACCTATACTCTTTCTTCATGTGACCTGGCCTTTTATAGTGAAAACATTTGATATCTCTTCTAGACTTAGATCTTCCTCTATGACCATGTGGATTTTTGCTATGACTTCTTCCACGTCTTTCTTGTTTTTTAGTAACAAATGCCCTAGAAGAAGATTCACTCTGTTCTTTCCTTCTAGCATCTTCATTTAGCAAACTGTATTTAACTATATCTATAGTTAGAGTCCCCTCTAGCATGGAGTTACAAATTGTCACCACATACGTTTCCCAACTTTTTGGTAAAGAACTGAGAAGTAGTAATCCTTGCATCTCATCATCTATATTCATTTTCATAGCAACCAACTTGTTTGCAAGACTCTGAAATAGGTTTATGTGATCAACAATGTTACCACCATTTTTATACTTCAAATTTACAAGTCTTCTGAGGAGAGAAATTCTATTTCCCACTGTTTTGTTTACAAAGATGTTTTCTAACCTTTGCCAAACAACATCAGCTCTGGTTTCATCAGAAATATGCTCATGCAAGTTTATATCCATCCATCTTCTAATATAGACAATAGCTTTTCTATGTTGAACTTCCTATTCTTCATCATCCATAGTAGAAGGTTTATTTTTAACTTTGATAGGCTTATACAGATATTTGCAATAGAGCAAATCTTCCATCAAACGCCTCCAAGTGGAATAATTTGATGAGTTCAATTTAATCATACCATCTGACTGCTTCATTTCAATCATACAAGAAAAACTAACACCAAACAACCTGTTGCTCTCATACCACTTATTGGGAAAAAACCTATTAAAACGGAATATTCTTTTCCCTATTTATATATCAAAATGGGTTTCTCATCAAAATACCAACTTGATATCTAAATGAAAATATCAACCAACACAATATAAACAATAGAGCAAAAAATCAATCACACAGTGAGACCAAATCTTTTAACGTGAAAAACCCAATGTGGAAAAAATCACGGGACCGTAGTCCACCTCAAACTTCTACTATCAATAGTAATGATAATAGGTTTACAATAGGTTTTCTCTAGAATAATCAGAGAATCACAATAACATCAAGATCATAGATCTTGGCTCAAGAATAGTACATATATGGATCACAACGTGGGTATAGCAGGAAAGTACCTTAGAGATGGTAAACTATAGATCGACATTGTTAGGATTGTAGAGTTTGTTGCAAAGATTCTTCACATAAAATTTGGATCAAAATTGACAACGTTTGGTCACCGATTGTTAAACAGAAAACTCAAAAACCTTACTTTTTCTCTACTCTTTTCTCTGCATGCCGCGCACACGTTCACCGCGCACCCTCACTGCACGACACTAAACCCTTTCTCTTGTTTGCTGCCCTCAATTAATGATTTAAGATCAATAGGTCGAATTGTTCAAACCGGGTTGGACCCAACAGTTTGATAGTATAAGATTTGTCAAAATTATAATCTTTTCCCAATTAAGCTCTTTGGTGCCAGACATATAAAAGAGCTTATTCCATGTCTCGAAAAGATAGTGCAATACGGTAAGAGAAAAAATATATATAAAGTACATCAAAATCCATATTACAAAGAAAATAGTGATAAATTTGACAATGCAAAATGTTGGAAAGCTATGAAGAAGTGGGGAGGCAGTGCCAAAAAAAAAAAAACTTTAAGCTATCAAACCACCTTCTACCTCGAGTTCTTTTCGCTAGGGTTCAATCCTTTGTTTAAAAAATGTTTAGACATTGTCTATCAAAGTGCTTTCTAAAGAACTAGGAATCTAAATTTATCATTGAATACTTAAGACAGATGGATAATGTATCTCAGGTGAGCCATGAAACAAAGTGAAGAGTATTGTATGAGATTAAATACTCGAGAAAATAGATGTATGACATTAACATTGATATAAATGACAAATATAAATGGCAATCAAGAAAGATCGAAGATGGAATGAAAAGTTTTTAAATTTTTTTTTTTTTTGTCTCAATCCTCCGTGGAATATTTTAAGTTAGAGGAGAATATTTTAACCTAAAAGCAATCCCCATTATTAAGAATAGAAATAAATCTTTTTAGTACAAATGAATATATTTTTTTTTTACTAGGATAAAATTTATGATGCTTACTTAGCCTCATAATCAGTCCTTACGTTACAAGTCTGTGGTGATATCACACAACGATCGAAAAGATTAGTGTTGAGTTTATGACTGTTGAATAACACCCGATTTACACGGTTAACGCTACGTTGCACGTTATATAACACTCGACCGATAACAGCTTGGAATGATTATAACGGCCAAATCGGCAGCATATCGTTTTTTAGGTGTCCGTTACGCGGTTTTAGATCACCGACAGTGAACGGACCCACTGGTGCACCCGCTCTCACGACCACAAAAGGACGTCATCATCCTCCACGTCATCTGCTCATCATAAACCTGCGGTAAGTTCACATGTCGGTCTCGAAGGTAATTTTCCGTTCTTCCGTGGAGCTTCGTTTCTACCCTAAAATCTCCAAGAAGGCAACAGATGCAGAGGGCGGGCATCGAGGTCTTGGCTCTTTCCTTCTTTCTTCTCTTGACTCTCGCTGTTTGGGTCTCTTTTTAATCTTCTCCATTCACTGCGATCTTTGAATCTCGAGGAATACTGTGAAGAGTGAAATAGGTCATATTTGTCGTCGATTTAGTAGTCGATGTGGCACCTTCTTTGGATCTTTTTGTTGTCCTTGATCCGTTCGATTAGGTTGTTTCTTATGATGTGTTTGTTCTACCTTTCAACTCATGTAAAAGGAAGAAAGAGCATTTTTCTCCTTAATTTTATAAAAGACATTAATCAAGATATTTTGTATGAAAATGAGTTTAAAGACTTTCTCCTCTTATCGTGTGCGAGTGAGCTTTTTGTTTATTTTATTGATGAATTACCTGATTGTACACTAAAAAAGTTGTATTTCTTTTAATATTTGAGTATTACTGGGTTAATTTGATGTTGTAGTTGTTGTTAGCTTTAGCTTTTGCGCAAATCTATTTGATGAGAACACCTCCAAAATTTTCATATGAATGTCTAAAGACAATATGGAAGTGCCTGCAGACTTGATTAAGTACCAGTCGGAGGACTCATGATTGTTGGATCAAACTCATGTCATCAGTTTCTCTTTTTTTTTTGGCAAACAATGATCATGTTGCTATCTGATCGCATTCTCATGTTATCCGCCTAATTTTGAAGTGCCTAATATCCTATATCATGACAAGCTATATTCAAGTGACATTTTGTTTATGAACAAAATTCACTGGAAGTAGAACCAAAACTGCCAATTTCCTCAACATGTTGTATTTAGCATGCCTTTTTTTTTTTTTTATCATGGTTGGCCTCAAGATGTCCTTTTCTAGTTACCATCTTCTTATCCCTTTAATCTTGAAACTTCATATTTAGTTTGATGAATCATAATCATAGCATTTGAAAAGATCAAGTGACTATCTCTAGATTGAGTTGTTTTACATCGATATGCTGTTTCAGTGTTTCTTTGAAGATCATGTGAAAGTTAGTTCACAAAGATATGTCTTTACAGTCTTTTTTTTACATTGTTCCACCAACATTCAGAGCCATTTGTGTCAAGACGTAACTTGTTGAACAATTTATTGTTGGAATACTCTCAAGTTAGTCTCTTCATGGATACTCTTATATCTCGGTCTACTATTAACTTGGGATTAAGTATTTTGAGATAATGATTCAGACTCAATAAATTAATTCAAAATTATCTCATCGAATCATATTGGGATAGAATTAATTCAAAATTATTAGCTAAATTATGTCATCGGTATGCACGATCTTTTCTTGCAGCTCACCACCTGAATGGAATTTTGAGGCATTTTAGCTACATTGAAAACTTGCAGTTCTCTTACGTCTTTTGATCTCAATTTTCCCAGGGACCAGGCCTTATATCTCCTGAAGGTTTAAAGAAGTTCTTTGGAAGGCAACTGAAAAGGCTTTGTAGTTTGCAACACAGGTAACAATGGGAATTTGGAAATTAGTAAATTGAAGTTTTAATTGTATAACAGAAATCACAGGATTTGATCAGGATTTATGTAAATCTGGAATTGAAGACATTAATCTTTTACCCATGCTATGAATTTTCTGAAAGGATTGTATTTCCAAGCTCTAGTTGAATGGGATTTTTCACTGAATGTTTTGCAGGTACATGGCCGAAAGGGCAAGTGGAACATAACTAAATGATGCTCTCTGTGAACAGTTGCTGTCTCCTAGAAGTAACCACAAATAGGTGAAAGCTGGTCAGTAGTGATACTGATTGATCATATATGACATATAGTCTCCATTATCTTCATTTGTTGCATGAAGTAAATAAGGTCTGCCCTTTGTTTCCATCCGATGGACGAGTCTCAGCCGGATGAACCTGGTGGTGATCTATGCCTCTCTGGACAGCCTAGAAGTGCTCATGTCAGTGGCAGCTCAGATGACAGATACAAGTTTGTGTTGTATTGAGTAATAGATCATAAAAGAGGTTGATTTTATTCATCAAGGAAATGAATATTTATATAAGTTTTGATGAAGAATTTTTTTTTAATCATGGACTCAAATCACGTAATCAAATCAATTCCTTAAATTTATGATTCATTCTTAAATATTAGATTTTTATGTATATTTTTATCATAATTTTTTATTATACTATTGTAAGATTGAGATTTTATGAAAGATGTCAATCTTACATCGATGTAATTGAAATGACTTACCGACGAAAGCTTTTGGACGTAGTAGAGGAAAGATACTCTTTGGATGGGGGAAACCAAGGTCACCATTGCTCGTCGAAGGGAAACTCGCAACAGCAAAACTAGGTCCTGGATCGTCGGCCAACAAGGAAGGGGGGACGTTTCTCGATGAGGAGGAACTGTTTCGTCAACAGAGAGTACTTCGAGATAGAGAGCGCTTCGTTAGTGAGGAAGAATGGACCGACGGTGGTAAAGAGGAGCCACCGAAGGACGAAGGGGGGGAGTGCTTCGTCGAGAGGAGGTTGCTCGGAGAAAACCAACAACAACATATTAGTAGAGATGTAGGAGAGTTGTGTTGAATGCTGTAAATTTGCGAACAACGTTAATGGAGGAGGGATTGGCGGTCGACGAGGTAGAGGTGCCAAGGTCAAAAGCAAAAAAAAAGGGGGGAGGGTGCGGTGGGCGTTGAGGGTGAGGCGCTCGGTGCAGAGATGAGCACTTGAGAAGAGAACGGTAATCGATGGAGTTGCAATGTTAGAGAAGATGCTGATGTAGGGAGGAAAAGGAGGCTATCGACCGTGACAAGACAGATCATGAGAGAAGAGGCAGACACTCGACTCGCTTGAAGTCCATCGGTGAGGCAACAATCTGAAATAGGGGAAGTCTGCAATGGGCGGTGGCCATGAAGAGAGGCGAGGAAGGGAAGAGGAGGGGATAACCATGGCACGAGAGGAGGAGGAAATAAGAGGGAGGAGTAAGGAAGGTTAGAAGGGTGGTGGCCACGGAGAGGGTCGAGGAAGTGGCGGGTCTGGTCCAAAGTGTGGAAGTTGAGCAAGTCACAGTAGGGAGCGGTGGATTCTGACGAGGGTAAATTAGCAGAGGAGCAGTAGTAGTGAGGAGTTGCGGTGAACAAGCTAGCGGCCTTCTCGAGGTGGATTGAGGGCGACGCGGGCGCTTCGTTGGTGAAGGGAGAAGAGAGAGGCTTCATCGAGGATCGACGAAGACCGCACGGTTGGAGTTCGAAGGAGAGGCACCACAGCAACCACGGTGGCTTGAAGTCCGTCGACTAACGGTAGATCGACAGGTGCTATCGCGGACGTAACAGGGACATATTATTGTCACCATATAACAAGCAGAGAAATTAAGGTAAGAGGAGCTATATTATTTTGAATTAAGAAATAGATAGTAAAAAAATTAATTTTATTCAAATGAAATAAATATTTATATAAATTTTTAGAAAATTTTTTTCTTTCAACAAATCAACTACTTAAATCTATAATTGATCCTTAAATATTAATTTTTTTTATCTATAATTCTATCATGATGTTTTATCAATTTATTAATTTTACTTCGAACGAGACCCCAAAACTTCTCCTCTCATGGACAGGACTATTGCACTGAAACATCAAAGAAATTGGTCAATGAAGTTGGACAAATGACACTGACCACTTATCTCACAGATTGGAATGCCCCTTGGAATCCAAGAAGGCAGTTCACTTCATGCTGTCTTTGTCATCAAGTACCTCACTTTTGTTTCTGTTCCTGCTATCAGACTAATAAATCAAGAAATCTCCATCGTCTCGCGCAATGTCTAATAAAATTATATTTAGAAATATGTTTCAAAAGATTAATTTAAAATTTATATTAATTGATTGACATTGTAAGAATGTTGAGGTGATATTTCTTTAAGTTTTGTTCACGGACAGTATTTGCGTATTCATATACAATTCCCTTATATTCTTCCTTGGACATGCCTCGGGGACTCTGTAACCAGACAATATTTGGAGACATCGCATCGCTAGCCGTCCAAGTTAATGACACTCTGCTCTAACCCATCATACAAGCCCTTGGGTCTAAGTGTCTGTTACCTGTCGTCTTGGCACCTCCACTGACTGGACCCACCAGGTCTGCGGGTAAGGAGCAAATGGGCTCCACGCGCCAATGTCCGATTCATGCCTATTGACAACGAATCTGCTACTAATGCTAACCAATTATATAATCGTGGGTCCCCCAGTTATTCTCCCATAGCTGATGGACACTGGTTTGTCAGCATGGACGTGCCTGTTCATGATTTGGATCGTAGCATCGTAGATGGAACCGTAGCCATGACCGCTTGCTAGATTTCAGCTCACTGGTTGCTTGATATGCACGTTTCCGAAAACCGTTGGCACTGCTGTTTTATTGGTGAAAAATCACGATCTTTTACGTTGATGTTTGTGTGACACTGAGAGGCAGGGGAGGAGCAATGGAGACTCAGGACGGCGGGAGCAATGACATAGAGAACATCGAGGGTGCACGGAGGGAGATGGAAAGGAATGCATCAGGGTTTTATGAGAATGAGAATGATGCAGGAAGTGTGAGGCAGCCGCTGCTGAGGAAGCGCACCATGAATACCACCTCCCAGATCGCCATTGTCGGTGCTAATGTCTGCCCCATCGAGAGCTTGGACTACGAGTAAGACCTTTTGTTCTCACATTAAATCTCGCTTGTGGGCGGTACGAGTATTGCCATCTTTGTTGCAGTATTGTTGTTGATTCGCCGATGACAGAAATTTGCCAATTGTTGGTTGAATTAGATAAGGAGTTGTGTCAACGTGAATCATCTAAAAGCTTCAGCTTAACATGTTGGTGGCTTGAGCCAGTAGTCTGGTGCGACATCGACAATGGTGCCGTTTGATCCACAGGGGTGGTTTGATGTCTGTGAAAATATGTGGAAGATTAATTCAATGATATGCGATCATAGATTACTCGAATTGGTTGGATTACACTAAATTATAGAGCTTGTCCGATACCAACTATGAAGATCCTATAGCCCTCGAGCAGATCTATACCCTATCTTTGTTGTTGATTTGCTAATGACAATGAATCGAGCTGTCACTCGCTAATTGTCAATGCCAAATCATCTAAAGCTGCAGATTAACACGCCGTAATGGTGCAGTCAGGTTCATAGAGATGGTTTGATACTGTAAGAATATATGAAAAATTGTATCAATAATATGATATCACAATTTGCCTGAATTGGATTACAAAAAATTCCGGAGTTTGTCCAATAGCACTTGATCTGTATTCTATCTTATTAGGCATGAGATTTCCTTGGAATCACCTGGACCTATCTCACCTTGAGAATCTCCTAGCATTTATAAGTGTTTTTAAGAAAGGTGTCTCCGTCCGACCAATTCAATTATTCCGAATGGTCTTCCAAAAAATATTTCATGGAGGGTTTTCATAAATAAGATATGTATGATCACTTCAATCTTCTTTTTAGCCCCATATATTGCAACCCAATTATCTTGTTCATTAATAATAATGTTGCATTCAAGTTTACGTTGAGCAATTTGTCTAAGGCTTAGTATCTATATCTTAGTAAAATGAGTCATAATCATCATGATTATATGTTTAATCAGAAATTTATCTTGTTTCATCTAAGGATTGTGGAAAATGATCTTTTCAAGCAAGACTGGCGGTCAAGGAAAAAAGTTCAAATATTTCAGTATGTCCTCCTCAAGTGGACTCTTGCTCTTTTGATTGGATTGGCAACAGGGATCATTGGCTTTCTTAACAATCTTGCAGTTGAGAACATTGCTGGATTGAAATTGCTGCTAACGAGTAATCTCATGCTCGAGAATAGGTAAGCCCAACTTACACCAAGCCATCGAAATTGACTGAATTACTTTCCTCTGCTGTATAAAGAAGAATATTGCTTGCACATGCTACTAGATAAATGTCGATAACGAATACGATAATATGATTAGATGTTCGTCGATGGTTTAAAGATAACTCATTAGTCTCAGTTGTTTTTGTATCAAAAAGCTTTGGCAGTTGCATCAACTTTTGTTCAATATTTTTACATGTTGAACTATTCTGTTGAGAATGTCAGAACAGCTTATGTTTTAATTTGGCCTTAACAAAATTAAACAATCGAGGAGAAAGTTTTTCCGAAAAAATGGACAAGATGAAAATTTTCCAAAGCATTAAATTCAAAGGGAAGACTCGTCATGATCTAAACTAATTAACCAGTATACTGCCATGATCCATCACCAGAGAATCAGAGCTTTTTATCAGAGTTTTTCTAATTCTCCTTTTTGTGATGATGACCACAATGATCTGTAACTTCTTGGTGATGTTTGTTGTGGAATGTTTCTTAGAATCTCATATCTCATAGTTTTTTTCTTGTATCCTTCTTCGTCATGTTGACCACAAGGATTCAGAATTTCTTGGTTATGTTTGTTGTGGCATAGTTCTTAGAATCTCACTGTTTCTTCTCTTAAAGTAAGAGTGGAACCTAACTCTGCTGCCTTTTATCTTTACTGATCTTTGTTCATCTTCATGTGACTAACAGAATTTTATTTTTGGATTGACTTAAGCTGGTTTAGCAAAATTGATGGTTCTATGTGAAACATGTTATTGTTGGCATCTTTAATTAATAGTTTGCTTTTCATGTTACAACATTATACATGCAATTGCTGTAGATTTGGTTCCAGTACAGGTATTTTACAGCGTTCTTAGCCTATGGTGGCATCAACCTAATTTTGGCAGCGGCGGCAGCTGCACTCTGTGCTTATGTTGCACCTGCAGCCGCTGGGTCTGGCATACCTGAAGTGAAAGCATATCTAAATGGAGTTGATGCTTACTCCATACTAGCTCCTAGCACGCTCTTCGTGAAGGTGAGTTCTAACTAAAACTCAGTGTCTTAATTGTTTCTTCTTGTTAATGACCTGTCAATCCATCCATTCACTTCATCTGCTAGATGTCTAAATCTAGCTAGCATCTTTCTTTTCATATTGTAATCAATTAATAGTAGGGATCTATTAAATGGTATTTTTGCGAGTTGTGACTAATAACAAATTAATAATAACATT